CAACTAGTATTTGGAGGCATGCTGCTCTCAAGCTGGAAATATCCTTAGGTTTTCAAGACCAATAGCCCTTAATAAAGCTATCCACCAAGAATTAGTGATAATTTTGTCCTGTGGTTATGAGGTCCATTGGTTGTGCACTATATGAGAAAGCACTTTCTTTTGTCTGTTTTAAATCTCATTCCAGTCAGCTTCACTAGGTGGCTCCTGGTCCAAAGGGAGAAAAATTTCTCCTTGCCAACTTTGTCCCATGCCATTTAACATTTTATACACCTTAATCATGCCCCTTCTAGTTGTTCTTTTATGCACTTTCTCCACCTCTATTATATACGTTTTCAAATGCATTGACCAGAACTTTCCACAGTACTCCAGAAGCTAGAGTACTGTGGATTTGTATAAGGGCATTACAATGTTGGCATTTTTATTTTCAATCCCTTTTCTAATGATCCCTAGCATGGAATCTGCCTTTTTCGCAGCTGCTACACACTGAATTAATATCTTGATTGAGCAATCCACTGTGATCCCCGATCTTTTCTTGGTTAGTTTCAGACAACTCAAATCCCACCAATATACTAGGGTTTTTTGCCCTAATGTGAATCACTTTACACTTACTTAAGTTGAACTGTATTTGTCATTTGAACTATTAGATCACCCAGGAAAAAACTACTCACAGTCCCTTCTAAGAAGTGAGGGGGACAGAAGCTAGATGCCACTGCTTCTCTGTGACAGTGACAATGCTTTGGAATGGACTCCTCACGAAGATCAGGCTGGCCCCCTCTCTGTTGCTTTTCAAGAAATGTTAAAAACATAACTATTTTGGAGAGCATGCACTGTGCCACCTTTTATTTTCTAATTCTTTTCATTTTCTTTTTCTTTTTGTTCTATTTTAGTTGGTTATATTGTGTACTTGTTTCTGGGATTTTATGACAGTTGTCAATTTAACCATTCTGTGGATATTTTAATTGTTTTCTGTACTATATACTGTTAACAAATGAACTGCTGAAAGTTGCTAGATTGGGGTGGAGTATAAAATGCAATGATAGAGAAATAGACCATTCAACCAGTTTAAAAAGCCATTCCTAGAGTTCTTTATAACCACCTTTGATTTTTTTTTTTTGACTTTCTTAATATTTCAGTACGGTATATTGCTAAAGTCAAAATCATTTGTCAACACATAAAGAACCACTGGCCCTAATACAAATTCTTGTGGGACTCCACTTCTTACTTCCTTTTATTTAAAAATTGCCTATTTATTCCTACTTTTTGCTTTCTGCTTTTTAACCAGTTAACAACCCATGAAAGAACCTACCCTCTTACCTACAACTACTACATTTACTCAGAACCTTTGATGAGGAACGTGCAAAGGCTTATGAAAATCTAAACATAAAATATAGATGGGATCATTTCCATCCACATGTCTGCTGACACTTAAAAAACCATCACTCTAACAAAAGTTTGGTGAGACAGGATTTCCCCTTGTAAAATCCATGCTGAATGCAAGATTTGTTCCCCTAGCTGTCTAATTAATTTTCTTTTATTATAATTTCTACTAAGTTGCTTGGAATAGACATTAAGCTAACTGGCTTTTAATTTCCCAGATCTCCCTTTTTAAAAATGGGTGTCATATTGATTACCTTCCACTCCTCTGGCACTGAGCCTGATCTGAGTGACAAATTACATATTTTTTTGCTAGGAGGTTACATTGTGGTGTTTCAAGATACTGAAGCATATTTTCTCATGTAAAATAATTTACTGCTGTTTCAATTACCCAAGAAAGTTTATAAAGGCTCAAGTATCTCTCCTAAACCTTTTGTAACAAACACAGGTGAAAGGAATTTATTTTGTTTCTCTGCTACATCTCTACCATCCCTTCCATTCTTTTGTCATCTAAGAATGCAATTGCTTTCACAGCTAGTTTTCTGCTGCGAATACATTTTAAAAACTTTTTATTCCAACAATAATATGAGAAGATCTGTTTTAGAGAGATCTGAATATGTCAAACAAACTGTAATCATGAGTCACTGATTTAAAACGAAACCCAACCAAGCCAAACCCTTATTCCCAGCCCTACACTAGCTAAGCAATAAATGCTGTGGAGAATAATTTTATAGGCCAGAAAACAACTCACATATTTTCAACTCTTGTATGTTCCAACCAGTTTAGCCAATGCTAAGGGCTGCTGGAGTTCAAATCTAAAACATCTGAAGGGTATCATATTGTCTATACCTTTCCTAGGACATCTCTTGAATGTGACCAGTTCCCTTCATTTTTCTTTCATTTTTAAAATATATATCTATAGATTTAAATGTTTCTCTAACACAATGTTTGAACTATATTTGTCTTCCTCCATTTAATGCCTACCAACTCTCAAAATACTAGCCGGCACTGGTAGGTCCTAAGTTGGAGAACCTAGGCTACATGTAGTACATCCCTTTCCCAGAATTACAGTGCTTACCTTTCACATTGCTTAAATCTACAAGCAACAGGTTATTTACTGTGGCAAAGGTATCTGGACTTTCATTATATAAGGATGGGTGACTTGCTACTAATATTAATGCTAGTATATTACAGAAAGTTTAAAAAAAACCAGACTATTCATGAAAAAGTTCCAGAAATCTTTTGCATGGGAATATTTCTATATTTATTACTTAAAAATAAAAGGGTTTTTTAAAGGATATAGAAATTAAAAGCAACTATAACTTTCAGGATCAGCAGCCTCCAAGAGATCTATGGCATATGTCCTGCAAAAGATTAATTATGAATTGAACACCAATCTACCAAATGTTGTTACTGTTATTCAAGATGTGTTTGAACTCTGCAGACTGCACCACAGCAGTGCAAATGGAATTCTGCCCTTCATTCATAAACAAGTACAAACAAAAAAAGTTGCTATGGCCCACTAGAACAAACACAGCTGGAACAGCCATGTCTTTTTAATTAGCTAATGATAAGCTAAAACATCCATCTACTTTATATGAACAGTGACAGAGTAGGTACCAATTAATCATGGATTACTGGATCCAGCCACTGATTAAGTATGCAAGAAAATAAAATAATAAAGTTATGTTTATTTTTTAGTCTGTTAATGGGGTTAGGATAAACTGGCAGTTTACCAGGAGGCTTTTCAACTCCAAGTAAACTTTGAAGGCTTATTGCTACAACAACTTAATAGTTACTACTAATGGGTTGCCAGATGTAAAGTGGTGCTTAAAAGTTTGTGAACCCTTTTCAATTTTTGAAGTATAATGTTTTTGACTCTTTTGTTTAATTGGGTTCTATCTGTCTAGTTTTAGGACGCGTGGAGGAATGATCATGTTTTAGGTCATATTTATCCAGAAATATTTTAAATTCAAAAGGGTTCACAAACTTTTAAGTACCACTGTATTTATTACAAAGGGTATTATTCTCCCTCTGCAAAGAAATGATTCTCATATCATTCTGCAATATAGTAATTCTTCACTATGAATGTTCTGTGAGATAATAAAAGATGGATTGCTTTAATTATTACTCAGCATTTTTCAAACTTTGTATGTTACTTTGGGTGGTGCCTTTAATTTTAGAAATGCTAAAATAAATAAATAAATAAATAAATAAATGCTGTTCCCAGCAACCATCTTTTGGCAAACATTTGAATGCTCTCAAAGGGGTGCAGATCTTCTTCTTTGCAGTATAATTGCCTTTGAGCTACAACAGTTTTCAATGTTGTACAGGAAACGTGGATGAAATCAGAGATGTTGGAGAATTTAGTCTGGTCTACATTCTTGAGCAAATGAACTAAATGAACCAAATCAACAACTACCAGATAAATATGATGACTGAAGGAAGATTTGTTCTTCCCTGAAACTGAATGTAAACTCAAGAATTGTATTAATCCATAAATACAAAAGTGATTTATATTAATAAATAATGTGTACGCAAGAATGCCTCTACATGAAAGATATGCGGACACTCCCCAACTTTCAAAACTGTTCCAGAAAGTCTTGTGTAACCTGACTGCCCCCAAAATGTGTGATGGAAGTTCATATGAAATGAAAGGTGGGCTTTGTTCTTTTTCCTCCTCCTTTATTGTTTTCATTTTGTGCTCTAGAAAATAAAGGAAAGCTTCTGCCATGCGGGGGATGCTGCCTGCCTTAGAGTTTTGCTCTGCTGTATTCATCTCTGCACTGTACTATTTTGCACACCTTTTTATGCACCCTGAAAATTTTAAAAGTGATTTATGGGAATCTCTGTGTAAAATCAAGTTCTACATAAATGGGGAGCAACTGTGTTAAAAAAACAGTGTGTCTATATTAAAGAAGAGCCAGTTTGGTGCCGTAGTTAAGACATCAGGCTAGAAACTGGGAGACTGTGAGTTCTAGTCCTGCCTCAGGCATGAAGCCAGCTAGGTGACCTTGGGCCAGTCACTTTCTCTCAGCCCTAGGAAGCAGGCAAGGACAAACTACTTCTGAAATCTTGCCAGGAAAAGTGCATGGACTTGTCTAGGCAGTCACCAGGAGTCAAAACTGACTTGAAGGCACCAAAAATAAAAAAATACAGAACATGTATATGAAGATAAGTTTAAAAAATCATTTAAAAATCATTGTTAAATACTTCCCCCCCCCCCCCCAAGCATGTCATGAATCACCAACAGATTGTCCATTTCTGTGTATGGCATTTCTCAACCATTCAAGCATAAATCCCCTATCTCTGCAGGCCTTTGACTCCAATCAATCAATCAATCAATCAATCAATCAATCAATCAATCAAATAATGGATTTACTGCAGATTCTATATATTATGTAGACCCGTAGCATTATAGCAAGAAGAAAGAATAACCATACTGAACCATACTGAAATAATCAAACTATGTAAATTATATAGTTTGATAGCTGTTTTCAAGTAGGTTAACTATGAAAAGATGTGGGTTTTTTTTAGCTAATTTAGTATCAATTTAAATTCCTGATTACTTTTAAAAAATTAAAGAATTTTGAATGGAATGTAGATGTAAACAAAGAATTTCCTACCTCCACCACTGACTTTGAATCCAGTCGAAAGTTGAAATCACCAAAGATAAAATATGAAACTCGTTCAAACCGCTGATCTATAATTCTGAAAAGACAAACAAAAAAATATTAAATGCAGTGTGTTCAGCTATATATCAAATAAAACAAAATCCAGAACTGTACCTGTGAAGAAATTACATATATATTGATTGGATATATTCTTATGCATCTGACCAAAAGCCACCAAGATGGACTAGGAATTCACAAAGTCTTTAGAACTGGTCTGGAAGATATCTGTATAATGTATACATTAGGGACTATCCTAGAACTACTATACTACCATGGATAGAAGAGGATGAGGACCAAATGCATATATTTTAAGGAAGGGACATGTTTGAATGCTTTTTTAGCTTCAGTGAATACATAAATGACAGATCATCATAAATAAGATTAATTTCTTTTGCTCTTTTGCTCCTTCATTCCCAATAAAAATCAGGCAGCTATTTATTTATCAGATTTATATAAAATTGATCTAAAAAAACTTTTAGAAGATAGTCCACCTTTTTCACTAACAGTGAACTTGCAATAGCATTCAAGTATAATTGCATCAAAATATATTTGAATGAATAATGGGAGTCCTCTATCATTATGAGCTCAACAAGCTGCCTTGTTCTTGCTTTCTGAAATAGTGGATTTATTCAAATCCATCCTCTTACGGAGCTTTCATACAATCTAGTTCCACACAGTGAACTGTGCTTATCAGCAATGCCATTTTTCTGGTTGCTATTTTTCTGATCACCTTCAAAAAAATTACACAAAATCATTTAGCACTAGACTTTGGAATCTCACAATTGATGAAAAGCCCAAAGAAAAATGAGTTTCTTACTTGTGATGAACATAATTGTTTTGGTGAAATTAATAATGAAATGTACATGTAGAAACTGCAGTGAAATTTTGTAGCATAAAATGCTTCTCTTTCAGGTTCTTGTCAGTCAGGGCATCTTCTAGGTACTTCATTCCATTTATCTTTCTGCAATAGTCATACAATATTAGAGGGCCATGGAATACATGGCGTCATTGGCATTTCCTTCATATGCTAACTTTGGGACTTTTTCAATCCCCTCTTGTGTGTGCAGTTGGTGCAGTTAAGATTACATGAGGATCCTTATTTGTTGCTCGACTTGGGAAATAAAAAGGAATATTATCATTAACAATGCTTTCAAAAAATAAATCTTTACTATTAGTATAATTATTCAGTACAATTCTTCAATTTTAAGTCTAAAATGTCAAATGTCCTGAATATATATTCCTAAGAAATGAACTTTAAATATAAATGGGTAAATATTACATATCATTTTTTTTAGCCTTGCAATGTATGATTCTTTAATTTTGGCTTAAAAACAACTGTCTATAACAATTTTATTTGTTGGAATTTGAATAGCAAAAGGAATCCAACCAAAATCAGTGTTTATGGGAATATTATGTGCTGCAAAGGTACAAAATAATGACATTAGATAGAAATCTGGAACCAGTTTATGAATTCATCAAAGCATTTGCATTAAGCAGTGTTCTGGAGGAAGGTGGGGAATCAGAAGCCTTGCGCAATCTCAAAAAAGATGAATGGATTGGAATAAGCAAGAAGGAGACCTGCACTCCTTTAAATTTAACAATAAATCTCTATAGCTCATCAGATATTTGCAATATTCCCCCCACCCCCGAACAAGATGAGGGCTTTGTAAGTTGTTTTATTGTAATCCTGTATTACAATTTCTTTTGAACATGCCATGAATCAAAATTTCCTATAAAAAGTTGTGATTACTCACCCAGTGGAGTGATAAATTTCAATAGAATAAGAAAGAATGTAGCCAAGTCATGTCACCAGCATTAATTTTATGTTTCTCAGTGGGAGGATCTACTGCTGTTTCATACTGTTATTATCTGATGCTTGTATCACATTATCAAAAATACTGTAATCTATCTGCAAGACTTACAACTCAGTTTTACAGCGCTGCCAAACATATGATCAGGTTAAATTATTTTAGCAGTAGAATGAGTACAGAGCTGGTAGCTTTCACAGAATACAGCCACACACATATACCCACATTCATCTAAGATGATTTGTGCTGATCATAGAGCTGATATCTATCAATATATAAGCACACACAAATTTTCATCTAAGCTGATTATATATCATATAATCCATAAATCTACCCATCCCCACACACCTAAATGAGATTCAATTACTTGGTATCTCTAATAATAAAAGACTTATTGGTACCAAGACATGGATATTCCTGCACGAAATTTAGACAAAATAAACAATACTACAGGGCCAGAGCTCCGGTATAAGGAAGGGTAAAGGTAAAGAAGAAAAAGGAAATAAGTCATTGTGGAAGGCACCTTATCACCACAGAGACACTGCAAACAAGGGAGGTGATCAATGACTTACCCATAAACTCCCAAAGAAATAACAGTATTAGTCCACTGCAGCAAAATATAACAACAGAAAGTGATGTGCATCTAGGATTAATTAAACAATCACAACTTACAGTATCTGCTGTAAGCTTTTTAAGGTCATCAGAGGCAAGAAATAAATTCATGCCTTATTCATGTCTTTAAAAAATAGAGATATCAACCATGTGAGCAGTTCCAGTAAATCCATGTGAAGGCTTTCAACTACAGTGTTAGTACTGTATGTGTGAATATCCTGTTGACATTTCTATATTTTGATCAACTTCAGCAAATGGTGAACTTATTGGGACTATTCACATATTGAGTATTTCCACTTACTGAATACCTGAATACAGTTTCAGCAATACAGCTCAGAGAAAAGATTCTAAAGCAAATTGCAAAGATTTTCAATTATTCAATTATTAAAACCACCAAAATTGACAATTTTCCATAAATTGCTTGAATTATGCAGCATCCAAAACATCAGATGTCCCATTTATAAGGTTGTTTTGGACAGAAAAATGATGTTGTGTAATACTGCCATATTCACTGTATCTGCTACAACACAACCAGTGATTATGCTGTAGCAACTAAGAAGAGCTCAGTGTAAAATGCTGTAGATAAATGATGTTGTTTTTCACATGTTCTGATAAGATTTAAATAGCAAATAATAATAATTTCTGTTTGTCTGAGTACTGATACATATAAGGCAAAAATGGTATTATCTCAAACAATTACTAGTTTTTTGTAGTCTAGAAACTGATTTTACACTGACAGGCCATAATATTACTCAATTTTGTATTTATCTTTTGGACCACCATTTGCTTCCTGATAAGTTCAAAGAGTCCATTTCCACAAATTTTCTTGTTTGGCTGAATCAAATATGGAAGCTGAATGATTAATCTCAGTTAAAGAAGTCTGCCTTGCACAACATTAGTACTGCAAGTATTTATGTTCCATTTATTTCTTGAAGATACACCATTTTTTTGGCAGTATTGAACGACAAGATTTATATTTCCCGCCTGAAGAGAATCATTCATTTCTAATGATTTGTATTCATAAGTTGCTATGGGAAATAAAGTTTAAAAGGCAAACCCTGAACTTTTGAGATCCTGTATCTATTTTAATTCAAAATTGTATAAGGGAGGTCATGTCAGCCCTTCGAGGTAGACCAGACTAGGAAACCAAGGTTCTGAATGCTAATACTACTTTTATTATAAGGTTACAGTAACAGAATCTTGCAAGTCTGAATGT